GGACGGCTTCGACGCGCCGCAGCCGACCCTGGGCAGCCGGCTGCGGGAGTCGGGCATCTCGGCGGGCAGAGAGCGGCGCTGCAGGAGGCGAGGGCCAAATGGCGGAGGCTTCGCGAGCGCCGCCGAGGCCGCAGTCTCGGGCGCCGAAGCGGTCGCTGCAGCTGAGGCGGGCGCCGCGGGCACCGGAATCTTGGCGACCGCGGGCGAAGCAGGGCCAATCCAGCGGCAGCGAGGGTTCCAGGATCAGCCGCCAGAGCCGCGGCGACCGCGGGCCACTGGGCGCCGAGCCCTCGTTCGACCAGCTGAGGGGTGGCCTCGAACTTGCCTGACCGCTATAGGGGAAACCCAGGCGCGATGGAGAACGTCACGCAGGCGGTGAACGATGAGCTCACGCAGAGCTTGGACTACAAGCTCGCGACGTCCAACGTCAATTATGTGCAGTCGCGGCGTGACGTACAGTATTTCCCATCCTCGCTGAGTACCTTCACGCCCACCACCAGCAGGGTGGCGCGCATCCCGCTGACCAGCGGCATGGATTTCATCGACCCGGAGAGCGTCAAGATCGCCTTCAGGGTCAGGAACAACGACGCCACCAGCGACCTGTTCCCCGGCACCCTGGAGCCCAGCTGCTTCATCAAGACCAGCGCACGGATGACATCAGCGAGTACGGGCGGAGCTGCTTCCTGTACTCCCTCCTGAAGCCGCAGGAATGGTACAACCAGCGGGGTTTCGAGGGCTTCTGGCAAGACCCGGGCGGCAACGCGCAGGCCAGCCCCTCCGGCGAGTATAGGGACGTGCTGATGGCCCCCACGCTGATTTGGGCTCTTCCAAAGTGGGAAGATGTTGCCCCCGCAGCTGAACCTGGTCCTGGAGCTGGAGTTCGCGGAGGCCGGGGACGCGCTCCGCCCGGCCGGCGGCACCAGCGATTTCAGCATCGAGAGCGTCAGGGTGCTGGCCTCCCAGGACAGCGCCCTGGTGGAGTCCTTCAACAAGGTCCTCCTCTCGGGCCGTTCCCTGGTCTTCTCCTACCCAACGATGCACACGCAGGTCTCCAACGTGCCCTCGCGCGTCACCAGCCACAACGTGATGGCGGCGAGGGCCTACACCAAGCCCTTCCGGCAGACCACGGACGCCCTGGGCGAGTGCCGTAACCTGGAGTACCCCGGGCCCGGCGCGCACCCGTTCAACCTGGAGGGCCAGATGCAGCTGGGGGCCCTGCAGTACCCCCGGTACCCCATCGCCAGCTCCGCTGAATTCCACCACTTCTTGGAGGTGATGGGCGGCACCTACGATTCCAAGATCAAGAACATGCGCATCGTGGACCAGTTCTACCCAAACACCGAGTTCATCGCCGCCTTCCCCACGGAGCGCGTCCCCAAGCACCCGCTCAGCGGCATCAGCACGCGGTCGGGCGACCTCGCGCGCTTCACCTTCAAGAACATGCTGGCGGACCGCGTCCAGCGCATGTACATCCACCTGGTGAGCTACCAAATCGTGACGCTGTCGGGCGCCGCGTCTCCGTCTTGGACTAAGGAAACCATGAGCTTATTCGAGTCTACCGGGAACATCCTCAACGAGGGGGGGACCACCGAGATCTCCGGCATCACGGCCGGCCAGCTGGCCACCGTGCTGACCGCCTACACGCCGCTGACGGACACGGCCGCGAACGCTGCGGCCATTGGCACCAACACCGCCGGAGTGGCCGCGAACGCCGCGGCCGTGGCCTCCCTGCAGGCCCAGGTGGCGGGGCTGCCCGGCCCCCCTGATCTGGCCCCCTACGCCCTGGCCGCCGACCTGGCCGCCGCGGAGGGGACGCGCTGCAGCTGCAGGTGGACGCCAAGTCCACCCCGACCTCCGTGGACGCCAAGCTGGCGAGCTACTGCCATGAACTCCGCCATCGCCTCCGCCAATAATGCCACCTTGGCCACGGTGGGCAGCAGCTACGCCCTGAGGACCGTCACCGACCAGCTGGCCCTGGACCTCGCGGCCAAGCAGGGCCCGACGTGGACCAAAAAATCGCCACGGCGCTCTTGGACCGGCAGCACCACTGACTTGACCGCAGCGGTCAACCTCAAGACCACGCCGGCCGACGTGGACCGCGCTTCTGGGCCAGGTCACCCAGGCGGTCTTGGACGCGGCCCTGGGCCTCAGGGACACGAGGCTGGACGGCCACGACTCCGACATCCTGGCGCTGCAGGGCGCCGGGCCCTTCGCCACCTCCTCCGACCTGACGGGTGCGGAGACCAGCCTCCAGAGCGCCATCGACGCGATCCTGGCCCAGCTGGCCGCGTTGACCACGGGCGGGGGCAGCAACCTGATCAACGCCCAGGCCTGGTCGGGGGAGATCATCTGGGACCTCCTTCTTCAGACCAATACCCTGCGCAATCTCCATTTCAACGCGCCGCTGAGCGTCAGCCTCCAGAACGATAACTTCACCCTGAGCCTGGCCTGCGACAGCTACAGCGTGGCCAAGGCCGACGCGGCCGTCGCGGCCGCCATCGCGACCGCCCTGGCGCCCTTCGCGACGGCTGCCCAGCGCGACGCGGCGATCGCCGCGGCCCTGGCCGCTTACAGCACCACCGCGCAGATGGACGCCGCGATCGCGGCCGTGGCCGCCATCGACCTCAGCCCGTACTACACCGGCGCCCAGACCGACGCGGCCATCACGGCCGCTTGTGACCCTGGCCAACGCCCCCGCCTGGGGCGCCAACCCTCCCACCTGGGTGAGCGCCAGCCTCCAGAACAACACCGAC